CCAGAAGCTTTGGAGAGTGGATGGATATTACAGAAAAAACCTAGTCGCTCTGGTTAGTGTGGGCCTGTTTTTGTTGGCATAGTAGCTATTCAGCTGCAAATTTATAGCCGTCTTCTTTGCAGAGAGCAAAATACAAAGCCTGGAAAACTGCTGTATACTTATCACACTGTCATCACCTTTTAAAACCATATCACCTAGGATGACTGCAAAGACTACTGGCAGCATCCAATGCTGGATATGGTTTTAAGAACTGGAAAGAAACTGTTATCCAGTGTGTCAGCCTTGAAGACAGCATTTGAAATGCTTGCTGAAACCTAATATCTCTTTTTGTATGTCTGTTTCTTACACACTTGCTTCTTTCATTTTTCATTTAATCTTTTAATATCAACTATAGTATACAATAGTTGTATACTAATATCAACTATAGTATACAAATCCTATGTTCTTTGGTGATTTGTGAAGCACTGGAGTACACATGAATACAATATATGTCCTAGGCCACACAGATTTCCAGTTGTTAAGAACCTGATGGCCCGTAGTATCTGGAAAACCTGTTTTAGGGTGATGAAACAATATGGTAGACCAGGGAGAAGAGAGAGTTGCAGCGGGAAAAAGAGGGTGTGTGTTGCTGAGACCCAGAGCAATACACACAATGGGTGTCATTGATAGGATCATGGGAGACTGCTGATTGTAGTTGGAGGAAAATAGAAAAGTGACCATGAATTGAGTTGAGCAAGACAGAAGTACTAAAAAAAGAATTTGACTGGAAGAAATGTTTGTAGTGCCAGACTTTTTGGGAGTTATTTCTGTTTTGTATGGTTATCTTGAGATTCTTCCCCTGCTGCTTGTGAATGTGTCCAATCTGATCAGACCTTCCATGGATTCTCTGGGTCTAATTCACTTATCCATTGCACTGAAAAACAGCCTTTCAGCTTGTAATGACCATCTGTGAGCTAACATTTTCTCTTGGAGATGAAAATGGCACACAAAATGATACTTTCCAGAGGGAGAATGGCTTCTACCATTCTTATGTAGATTCAGCCTGGGTGACATCACTTCCTAACTGGGTATGCTGAATTACCTCTGGTGTTTATGAAACATTGCTCTGGTTCTAGCTACAGTGGTTTTAATACACATTCCAGTACCAAAAATCATCATATTAAGGACCTGCTAATATTTCAGAGAGACAATAAAGGGATTGTTCTTTCATGTAACTCAGAAACCTCAAGTACTTAGTAACAAGAAAAGGATTAGTTAAGGGTATCATACACCTTTCACTGCCCCATACACTTTCACAGCTTAGTTGTTGAAACTTCTCCATGGATTGACAGCTGGTGGAACTGGCTTCCTCAGGATTTCTGTAATGTAGGGGAAGACCCCAGAGGGCATAAAGATGGTGTAATGTTTCTTTGACATCTCTTTTCTTATCTTAGAAGAAAAGGGCAGTACGCAACCAGGATATTTTTATGCAGAGAAAATGACCAGAGCTGATGTGATCTCTTAGGGCCCTGGGCAACGTAGTGCAGGATAGGAAAAACCTGAGGCTGCTCTAAATGATCTCAGGGGCTGTAGTGGCTTCTGGCCAGCACAGGCACAAGTATGACGGAGAAAGCTTAGTGATTTCTTTGCCCACTCTTTCTCAGTTGTATGAGGCATACCCTGGTCCTGGCAGAGGTTCCAGCCCATTTTCCTTCTCAAGAATAAAGAGATACCTGTTTCAGCACAACACAACTACTTCATGTCTCGTACACCCCTTCCTTGTATGTTTTGTATGATTTTTGTTTTGATCCTGGTGTCTTGTCTTTAAAGGAATTTCTGTAAAATATGGACTATTATTATATAAATTAGTTAATGTATCATTTTACAACATAATTTTAAAGCTCAAATTTTTATAATGACTGTTTCTTGCAGATGATAACCACTGTGTGACATTATCTATGTAGTAACAGCTTCATAGATTACTGCTACCAGTATTATTGCAGTTTGTTACAAAAGGCAGTGGCTATGGACAAAGAGACTGTGTGTGGTAGCAACATGGTGTTACTAGTCAATCTGTACAGTATTAGTGGTGGTGCTAGCCATGTGTAAATATATATACAGACATACATAACCCTCTGCTATAATGACAAACTATGTTCTTTTTTTACTGTAAACTGGTAGAATGTATAATCTTACTGTATGTTGTTAGCAAAAAATATAAATGATATAAATCTTATTTTATTACATTTATTGTTTTGGCAAAAGCTGTAAATAAACTTCTACTACTACAATGACAAATGACATATAAATACATAATGCTTGTTGATTTGTGAATCTGTTTACTGTTATGATGATATGATATCCCAGATATGATTAACTCAGATGTGGATAACCTCTCATTCAAAAACTATTCCAACATAAATGTTGAAAGGAAATAAAAACAGAACATTTGAAAGAAAAATAATTAGCAGCTGAGTAGTATGAGATGCATAAGAAGTCTCTTTCCAGTCTGTTTTGCCTGGGAGTATGTTGAGGACCAATCCTCCAATGCTGAAAGATAAGCAAACATACAGCTGCTTAGGTATGCTTGCTCTCGCTCAGATTGATAGATATAGATTTTTATTATTAATATTTAATATTAAAACTAAATACAGGAACTCTATATGTCCCATATAAAGACTCACTATGGCTTTGCTTTAGGAAAGCATCTGTAGTTAAGGAGGCATTTAAGCATGTGTTTAAGTGAATTCCTGATGAGGGATGGATTTAAGTATGGGAATAACCACATTTCTGAATTGGGACCTTAAATTATATTACTTTGCTAAGTGGAGCTACCCTAAATGTGGCAGGAGAAAGAGAGCTGGGCTGCAGCTTCTGCCTCAGAAGGATTTGAACTGACCATTTTGTAGTGCCCTAGTGTGCTAGGAATTTTGTGTAAATGAAAGGCTGGCTCTAAGAGCCTGATTTTTATCATTTTCATTACAATCTATTTGTATTGCAGTTGCACCCAACTGAGATCAAGGGCTACCTTCTGTAGGCACTGCACAAACACACTGTAATAGATATTTCTGACTTTGAAGAGCTTTGATCTAAATCGTCATATAGATGAACAATGGGTAGAAGAAAGGCATTGTTATGCCCATTTTATAGAAGAGACGGAGAGAGACTTGATGGGTTGCTTGAGGTTGCAAATGAATTGGGGCAACACTCAGAACTGAACCTAGAGCTTCTGAGTGCCCATTCATTGACTTGCCAGTGATCTGGTCCTTTCTCAGCTCAGCAGTACTGAGCAGTCAAAAGGAGCTGTAGGTGTTCATTTCTCATTGAAACCCAGCCTTAACTGTTTGTTTTTTCCTTTGAGCATTTGTCCATGTAGCTGCATGTGTCATGTGCATGTGAGCACAGAATGTTTTAGCCAGCAGCATTCACTGGGCTGCTCCTGTGCCTGTACACCCTCAGGCCCTGTACAATGAAGACACAAGTGACAAAACAGTCCCAGCTGCCACTCAGTTCCTTCTTGTCCCCTATAGCAGCAAGTCAGAGCCCAGAGTGTCCCTAGACATCCTTGTAGCTATTACCTAGTTTAAAAGGTTTGTTGCGAAAAATTAGAGGAATAAATGTGTTATTCAGAGCATATGCACTTTATTTATTTTTATTTTTTTGAGAGAGAACCCAGTTCTCGCCCTTTCTTCCATTCCATTAAAGAAGATATGCCAGGAAAAATCTCAGGTGAAAATGATGGTATCAGCCATCACTGATGTCAGTTCCGATGTGCCACCCTAATGTACCTGAGCCATGTCTTTGCATTACAAGATTACAGGATGTCTTGCACAGAACGGAGGCCTAGTGCTACATTCAGATCCAGAGCCTCTACATTTAGCAGCTCAGAGACCAGCTTGCTGAGTTCTAGGACGGGAGGGATACAGGACTTTCTGATGCATATCAAACTCTTTTGCACAGAACTGTATCAGAAGGACATATCAAATGGTATGGAAGTATTTTTCTTTATGGTCTGTTCAGAATCATATTCAGCTCTTGGTGTCCACTATTGTCCCTACTGTCTTTAAAGCAAGTGGGCTGTTGAAGTTCATTTGGCTGCTGTATAATATCTGACCAGTCTTTCAATTAGTCTCTGAATTCTGTGAGGGTCTAGTTCAGATGCATCTACGAGTGAAGGACCTATTGGCTAACTGCAGTTTGATAAAAATTCCAAGGGCAGGCTGGTTTTTAAAGTGGCACATACACTAAGTTTTCATGCTTTATAAACCAACTGCCTTTTCTATGTCAGGGCAGACTACTCTTGGGCCTTTGTCACATTCTGTGGCTTATTTCTGGAGGGTTATTTACTTATTTATTTATTTTTAACTTGTAACTTGGATTTGGTGCATACATTTACCAACCACTGGTACATTGTCACAGCTTCTATACCAGATGCCCTGTTTAGCAGGCCTCTTCTCCAGTTCTTATTTAGACAAAAACTGCCTATTTTCAGCTTCTTTGAAGCATATCTGCTGGTTGCTCACCTACAGTGGGATCTCAGGCAATGGGTTGAAAAAGAAAATGAGGTTACTTACAGTAACCAACGTTCTTCAGGATGCATATGTTTACATGGGTCTTACCTACCACCCACCCTCCTTCTACACTGATTTGGAAACCTTTTCTGGAGGCCTTATCTGAGTAGAGGGACTGAATAGGAAGTGTGGCTGCAGTACTTTTTTTTTATGCCCTCACTCTAGGGAGCACAAGGGTGTATAAGTGTCATGCACAGTTCTAACAGACACTGTTGGTTAAAATGGTTCTGGGCTCATGCTTGTGAGGTACACACATGATCTGCATGGACAAAAGTACTGAGCAGATTTTAAGATAAATAACATTTCTGTGTGGTATGCAGTTTTCCTTTAGAAAACTGTATATGGTTTGTTATCGTTACTTTTCAAAGTAATCTTTTTTTCCCCAGATATGATGGGAATTACAGATCTGATTTATTTGTTTATATTTCTTGAATTTCAGGAGTTGACCAGGGAGGGTAGAACAATGGGGGACTTAGCTGCATGACAAGCTAAAACTGGATTCTAAGTACGCCAAGCTACTACACAAATTTAATGATGTATAGAGTATACAAGGATTTTCGTATTTGTCTTTGTTTCCGCCTGTCTTACCTATGTCTTTTTCCATCTTTTCCAAGTCATCCTTCAAGAGTTGCCAAAGAAAGCTCCAGCATGTCTCCTGCTCCTACACATGCTTCGATATGTGGCAGAACATGCATGTGATTGGATGACTCTGAAGCAATTATTGGACAACCCACCAAACCTTTGAGCAGCTGGCAGTGAACAAGGCCAAGATACAGTGTTAGATTGATGATCACTTTTCTGTCTTTCAGAGAACTTGAAAAATTTGATTTGAGACATTTTCCTCATGGGGACTGAAGAGGAAGTTAGGCAGGCAGGAAAGCACCAGGCATTCTCTCCAGCGATCTTGCAATCCCTGGCAAATCTTTTCTTCTTGAAGGTGGGTGGTCTCCTTTTTGTCAAATGTCTGTAAATTTAGTACATCACTTTCTAGTTATGCCACTGATGCTTGTGTTTATATGAATGGCTATTTAAAAAAAGGAAAGATCAGATGTTTGTTGTTTCATTTCAACATAAATTAAACTTTGTATTCACATAGTAATTCTAGTTCAGCCCCAGGAATAGCTTTAGTATTGCTAAGTGTCTGGAGAGTATTGACTACAGAGACATGTTTTTAAGCAGTCTATAATAGTTTCTACAGCTGTTAACAGTTCATAGAAGAATGGCAGCATTATTCATTGGTGTTTAAAATGTGCATGACTTGCATTGCACAGAAGTCAGATTGGGAGAATGTCAGATTTTTTTTTTTTTCTGAAACTCTGCCAGGAAAGTCTTCAATAACTAGAGAAATTCTTTTCACTGGTGGAATCAACATGCAGCACATTGTGTTGTTATAATTGCTTATAACTCACCATGAAAGTTGTCTTTGTATGCATGGATGTATGGCTTGTACTGTTTTATTTTTATTTATTCTGCATTCTTTATTATAATGTTCTTTCCCTTTTTCCAGACCAGAAAGATTGTTATTGAGCTCTTTACAAAGCTGAAGTAATGCTGTGTGTTAAAAAAAATGTTAACAATTTGAAGAAGTTATAAAAATTTATAAGTTGGCCGAATACTTTAGAAATTTCTGCATATTTTAATATAAATAGGTAATGCAAATATTTGTTCTTTGCATTTAAAGGTGGGTCTCTGTTTTCTAAAGGTCTTATATTTAAAGTTGATTCTTTTGATTACACTAAAACAAAACCAGTATTTTTTTCATGTTGTGCAACTGAAAACCATATGATTGTAAAAGACAGTGCTTACATAGTTAATAGTGAATGCCATACAATTATGAAGTTTAAAATGTAACATGTGAATAGTATCAGTGCTTGAAGAACTTCATTAGCAGGTTTAGGGACTGAACTAGTGTTTCATAAAGTCAATGGGAGTCATTCCATTGAGTTCAGTGGGTATTGGGTTAGGCCCACAAGAAAAAGTAAGCTTATTGCTGCTGAGCACAGAAATAACTATTATTTTTAATAAACTGTAAGTGGCAAATTCCGTTGTTTCTCATACCTGTATAAATCCAGAGTAACTGACAGAAGTCAATGAACTTACTTCATGTTTATTTTTTTGCAACTGTGAGCCTTAAATTTATTTGTGGCTTGAATTACTAAATTTAGGCAAACCAAAAAAAAAAAAAAAAGTAAAAGAAAAGAAGGAATAGAGTGGAGAGAGAAGAGAAACAGAAAGATGAGAATGTGGGTAGGGACCTGAATGACTATTAATAAATTCAATAAATAATACATATTATTTATTGAATTTACAATAAATAAATTGTAAATTCCTAATTTACATATTCAAAATGTAAAGTGACACACAGAATGAGTGTGCCCAGAATAAGAGACTTAAAGCTGGTTTTCAAACTGGGTTGAAAGGAAAGTTCTTTCTATTAAAAAGAGATCGTAGCATGTGTGTGTAATCCCTTTGGCAAGGTGGTAACTGATGGGGATTCGGAGTGGATATCTAATCTCAGATATACAATTTTCAGCCTGGTATGTGGTAAGAAGTACTTCTCCCTAGATGAGCTCTCAGGTTGTGCTGAATCAGGTAGATTCAGTATGTCTTTCTTTAAAGCAGAGCAACCATTTGGCTCTCTCAGAAGCCAGTGGGGTGGAAAGGCTAGAATGTAGGAGGTATTTATTTTCTTAGTCTGTGCTAAAGGTGCTCCTAGGACTCTAGATTTTCACTTTTCTCATCCTAAAGCAGTGGTTCTAAACCTTTTTTGTATTGGGACCCATTTGTAAATGTCAATGGCCAGTCCTGACCCACTGATCCCCACCCCCAGACTCCAGCCCTGTGTGGGGAAGGAGGTGGGTGTTTGGGGAAGGGTGGAGTGTGTTTGGGGAATGGGGGCGGGGGGCCCAAGCAGTCCCTCTCAGGCTGGAACTCTGCCAGCCTCAAAGGGAAAACCCATGGTTTCCTGCATTTTTTTTTCTCCTTTAAAGGAGAATCCATTTTTAAAATTCTTGACCCTTTCATATAGTCTTACAATCCACTTTTGGGTCACAACCCATGGGTTGAGAAATACTGCTCCAAAGGAATATACAGCCAAAAAGGCTGCAAGAGGAAGCTGTATAAAGAACGTCTGGTGTTGGCTTTGGCTAAGAGAGAGAAAGCAAGTGATGTGGCTTTTCCTGAGCTGTGTAATGAATGGTTTAAAAAAAATATCTGATTTGCAACTCTGCACACTCTCTGTAATTTATGAAGAGAAAAAAACAGCAGGGTTTCATTGTCTGTGCTAGTTAGTACTGAGTGGGTGATGACTGGGTTATTTGGATGCCTGAAAACTATTGGCTATAAGGAAGGTTTACAGTGATGTTTTGAGAACATACAGCTGTTCTGGGGTAGCATGTTCACAGATACAAGAAGTAGAGTTAGTACTTGCAGAGCTAAAATATAGGGGAAAAATGTTTTTCTGGTTGTATTTAGGTCAGTAGCTTTTTCAGTAGTCTAACAAGTGGTTAACTGGTTCAGCTGGCTGGAAATATGTAGTGTCTGTATCTTCCTGAGGAAGGTTAATGCATGTTACCTTCCTAATTGCACGTTACCTTCCTAAGGAAGGTAACGTGTAATCATAACTGAACATTTGAGGCCAGATTCTATCCTGATATATAGCCTATGCAATGCCATTAGGGGTGACGGCCCTTTGTAAAGTCTCAGAATTATTGAGAAGCATGCAACATGTCCTAGTCCTTGAAGTTCTGTTTTCACAGTATTTTCCTTTTGAATCAAGCAGCACATGGATATGCTTTGGTGCTTGGCTGCATAATTCAAGCTTCTCAAGTTCACAGTTCACTCCACAGATGACTGATCATAGTTTTAAAAGAATATCCTAGAAGTTACAGCCATATAGAAAACTAGGCCTTTTATGTGTATGGATTATAGATGTATTTAGGTGTGTGGATTATAAAGATATTATTGCTCATTCAGTTTGTTATGAATAGTTTTCAATGCAATATCTGCCAGTAGAGTGAAGCAGTTGGATGGTTAAACATATATGATTTGTAGTAGGTAATTATAATGGAGCTAGGAGAATTTAAAGTGTTTGTAGTGCGATGAAGGCACAGTAAAATAAATAAATTGATGTTTATTTTTAAGTATTTATTTTGATTTTTATTGACTTTAATTTTCAGGATTGCACAAAATTAAGGGTGCAGGGAGCAGACAATTTAGTATTGACTATATACTTTTTAAAAACTATAAAATCAAATGTCAAAATATAAGAAGTAAATATCCATAAATCAGTAAATCATGCCTGCTTTAAATCATTTTGTTTATTCATAAGGAAAGAGCTGGGCAGGCAGGGACCATAAGAGGAAGGCAACAGCACTCCCAGAGCTCTGGAAACACAGGGAGAGGTGGTAGCTACCCTTAGTCTCCCTGCGTTTAACCAGCCTAGTCTGGCCTGGCCTGGCCTGGGCAAGACCCTGCTGCCACCAGGCTGGAACCTGGCTAAAGCTCTTACTGTGATGAGTGGACTTTTTCTTAGTCGTGGCCTGGAATTAACATCTGTGGTTGGTGTAAGGTGGGGTGTAGGGGAGGTGGAGCCCCAAAATGGGAAACCGGACAGGAAGACCGGAGGAGGGAACCAGGGGAGGCAGGACTTAAAAACATCCTCCCGATGATAACCTATACCAACAAGATGTGGCAGATAAGAACCCCTCGGGGTGCTCCAAGGCATTTGCCCAGATGACAAGCTGTTGACCAGAAAGGAGACCGGGGCGCCTGAAAGGCCAGAAAGAGCAAATGAGCGAGCGACATGGGAAGTTACAAGCCTGCTATCTCCAGCTGCTTTCAGCACCTGTGAATGAGCAGCTTATTGCTTAATTGACAAGTCATTAGGTCACCCATTGTTTT